TCCTTGTCTGTCAGAAATAAGTCTGCTGGAATAGCAGGTTTATTTGAAAATTTTCCATCTGTCAAATTTAAGTAAACATTCACCAAATGAAACACAGCTTTAATAACTTGAGCACAGGATCGTTTCTTGTTGTGTTTGTTTTATTAGATGCTAGATAAAAACTTCTTTTATCGATATGTGTGTTGAAAATACCTGGGCCGAGTGGATTCAAGGAGAAAGTCGACGAAGAGAATCTTGTCAGTGTTACTTAGGACCTAATGCAATGTTCAGCTTGAACTGTTTCGCTTAGCTGTAAACAGAAAATGAAGATGAAGAGAATCGAACATTACAAGTAGGCCCTTTTGAACGCTCACTGTCGAATTTCAGAACCTAGCACTGAAAATAAAGTCGACGGTACCTCTATTTATGCTAAGAGATAAGCATTGCAAGCCCCTCCTACTTGAAGAATTATGAAAAAAAAAACCGGGGTTGTAAAAACCGTTCCATAGCATAATTTTCCAAGTATGAGGGATTTTAATAGCTAATCTAAAAGCATAAATAGAGGTACCTTCTGATAATTTATCACATTTCAAGACCAACAATTGAAATGGCCTTAACTCCATTTTGTAAACAAACCTTGTAAGGCCATTTTCTCGCGAACCGAAGTCCGCAAAGGCAAAACAACATAATGAATAGGTAGAGAAAATTCTCCTCTACCCGATTGTGGTTTAGGTTTGCGAATGAAGGTTTCGGTTCGCGAGAAAATGGCCTTACAAGGTTTGTTTACAAAATGGAGTTAAGGCCATTTCAATTGTTGGTCTTGATTTATCCTTTTGATCACCGCAGAAACACCCCGTTCCCGTTTCTTATGCAAAATAATGAATGTGCGGTGCGTTCACAAAACGCACGAAATCTCAAAAAACCATATTGAGATTTTTTTTAATTCAATCAATAGATTAAAGATGTACCGAGAATTAAATGGAGGGATTTCAAGCTAAAATGTTCTGATCGCGAAATATTGACTATCAATACCGAAATTTCGCATAAATGTCCAACCCCTTTTGTGTGGTGTGTACTGCTGTCTTTCAGTGTTGCCCGAGGTGTTGCCCTATGATTAGGGAACTTTCATAAATAACGTAGTGGTTGAGGGAGGAGAGGGGTTTCAGAAGTTGGGACCGGCCGTGTATTAGGTGTATTGCAAAACACGCTCCGAGGGGGAAGGGGGGTTAATTGATCAAAAATGTACGTAATTTATGGATGGCCAAGGTTGTGTCGCAATGGGTGAGTTAACTCGTGGTTAAAAGTGACAGATGAGTTTTCAAATAACTCTGCTATACGAGCGTTGTTATTTCGGACCGACTAGAAGTTAAATTTTGGTAACCGTGACTGAGTCAACTGATCAATTTCCGACATTTTCGAATATTGATAATAACTTACGAAATGTCACGTTTAACCACGAGTTAAATGTAACTCGGCAATTGGTACACTCAAAAAAATGTACACGTCTGATTCAAATATTTGAACTCTTGATTTTTCAAATGCACATCCACATTGATTTTCATGGATTTCCACATTGGATCAAAGTGTTGTTCTCTAGTGCTTTACACTTTGGATTGATGAAAAATCCTACTCCATCAATTCAAGTGTATTTCACGTTGAATCCAATTGAATAACTTTTGAAACCACACCACTGTTCAAAACAAATCGCTTTCAAGTGATTAGCATTTCAATACGATGCGAATTACTTGTTTCTCAAAGGTAAACAAGAATATATTTTTTTCCACCTGTCAACTTCATCCTAAATCAAGTAAAAATGGCGTTGCCATGGGAAACAGCTGCACCGTATGCAAATTATACAATTTCCGAAGATTATGCTCGAAGAACCTTTTTCGTGGATAGCAGGGCCAAGAGTGATTTTCATGCTAGAAAAATTTCCGAAGGAGATCATTACCAACCGAAAAAACCAGTGGTAAAGGAAAATGATTATGCACCCGTGGCCCGGTGTTTCGAGTTGATAGGTTCAGTGAAGTTTTGATTGACAAGGAGAGGTAATCATATGATATGCATGAAATTATTTTATCTGATTTATTTTCGGATTGTTTGCAGTGATGGAGTAGTACGTGAATTCTCTTCTGAGAAATTGATTCTGGAGGATATTCTGGGAGCCATGTATATCGAACTAGAAACTTAATCGAAAAGGTGAATAACTTCTATTGTACTGCAAATAGCATTAAAATCTTATCAGCATTCTCTTTTCAGAACTATCCTTACAGTAAACCTCTTTACTTTAATTGGGTCACGAATGGCTCCTGTACAGGATGACTGGCATCAAGGTCGAGCTGGGGAAAGCAGCAATACAATATTGAAATGTAAATTTTTTAAATAAAATTGAAATTTGTCTGACAAATTTGTGTGATAAATAGTTAAAACCCAATAAACATGACATACTAATCCGATATATATCACACTCCACTGCGTCTTAGCAAGAAGTACGGTCGACTTAGTTTGCGCTCCGCTATTTTGGAAGTTTTCTCGCTATTCGCTTGATTTAAATTATCAGTTTTTTCTCGCTTAGAGTTCCCAGCTAAATAATTAACTAAAAGTGAGTTTTTTTTCTGAGAAGAAAGTGTGTTTTCGGCATCATCGGAAGGAAAATTGTTTTTGCGATTGCCAATTCGCCAACCATTTTGCGCACCATCGGTGCGTGGTAACGCATACCTGCACACGGATCATCGTCATCGAGTGTCAGCATCTGCCTCCGCATTTACACCGCTCATCTATCATCGTGTGTTCAGCTGAGTGCCGACCCTCACATAAGCACACACCAACGAAGACCGCCCGCACACGCGGATCGAAGATCATCCACGCTGCGCGTCACTCCGCTGCTGCTGTTTAAACCACAAACGAAGTGACAGACGACTTACTGGCGAAGAAATCCATTGAAATAATGTGGTTCACTGTAATAGAATTTTCTTGGAAGCTTGTGCCATCATCCACCAGATGGGTTAGTTTTTTTGTTTTGATTTGAACAAAGTTGATTTTGTGTACAATGATTCTTTGACAGAGTGCAAAGAGTGCGTATCATTTTGTCATTTTTTTATGCATTTCAGTTTTGAGTAGAGTGAAAGAGATAGAACCAAAATATTCTAGTACATTTGGTGAAAATGCTAGTTCAATCCAATAGTAGTGTTGCCATGTGGTACAATCCAGTAGTAGTGGTGTTGCCATGTGGTACACTGAAAAATTGCAATAGAAGGTTAGTCACCAAAGTTTTCGAGCCGCTCCGTCTGTCACTTCGTTTGTGGTTTAAACGCTCGGTGGTAGTAGTATAGGATTATCAGATAAGTTTTTATTCTTGTTTCTCTCTTTCGCCCATCAGTTAAATTTTAAGTTTGTGTTCTGTATTTGTAGTTTTTTTTTGTGTATTGTGTCCGAGTGATTATCGTTTCAGTGGTAGAGCGTTTTTCGCTCCCACTAGTACGGCAAAATGGACATTTTGTCGCAAGACGAAATGGACGTTTTGTCAGAAGATGACACCACTTTGCCACGCGATGGCAAGAAGGGTCGAAAACGTACGTCATCTCAAAAGAAAGATGATGTCATCCCTGGTTCATCGTCTCAGTCTGGCAAAGGACAGGCTCAGATAAACCCCCGATCGCGAGCCTATCCAGATGACTCGACTGGCCCATGGGTTGTCTACTTTCAGCCCAGAAACAAACCTTTGAATGTAATGCAAATTACTAATGATCTGACGAAGCGATACTCGGCCGTGACTGAAATCACGAAGGTTAGGCACAATAAACTTCGTGTCTCCGTCTCTAACCTGAAGCAGGCTAACGAGTTTGCTGCCTCCCAGCTCTTCACGCTCGAGTACAGAGTTTACATCCCAGCTCGTGATGTGGAGATCGAAGGTGTGGTCACCGAAGCGAGTCTGACCCCCGAGATCTTGGAGAAGCAGGCGGTTGGCCGTTTCAAGAACCGTTTGCTTCCCCCGGTGAAGATACTGGATGTCCAAAAACTGGGCTCAGTATCTGTCAGCGAAGGTAAAAAGAGTTTTACCCCCACAGACTCGTTCCGTGTGACCTTTTCTGGTTCAGCCCTTCCTCACTACATCGAGCTGGGAAAACTTCGACTACCTGTGCGTTTGTTCGTTCCCCGGGTCATGAACTGCCAAAACTGTAAGCAGTTGGGACATACGGCCTCCCACTGTGGCAGCAAGGCACGCTGTTCCAAATGCGGGGAGAAGCACGAGGATGACACCTGTGCAGCTACCGCACCAAAATGCGTGTACTGTAAGGGAACTCCTCATGGTCTCTCGTTGTGCCCGGTGTACAAACAACACGGGGAGAAATTACAACGCTCACTTAAGGAACGTTCCCGGCAGTCTTTTACAGAAATGCTTAAGACGGCCACGCCATCGACCAACGACAAAAATCCCTTTTCTCTTTTGTCAGATGACGAGACTGACTCTGACTTGGCTGAGGAGGGAACTTCTTTCCGTTTTTCAGCACGGAAACGAAAACGCATCCGTTCGCGGAAAGTTGAGAATGAAGAACCCCAAATCAGCTTGCCCAAATCAAGGAGTGGTGGAAAAAAGGAAGTTTCTACTCCTCCTGGATTCAGAAGAACTGACTATACCCAGGATTTTCCACCTCTCCCGGGGACATCCAAAACCCCTGATGTCCCATTTTTAAGAACAGAAGCCCCTTCTTCATCTGGGTTGTTCTCATTTGATAACATTGTGGACGATATCCTCAAGTACCTGAATATTTCTGATCCTCTCAAAAGCATTGTTCTGGCAATGCTTCCTACTGTGAAGACCCTCTTGAAGCAATTGACATTGAAGTGGCCCCTCATTGCAGCAATCATTTCCTTCGATGGATAATTTTCCAAACGAGGTCGGGGATTTGATCACTATTCTACAGTGGAATTGTCGAAGTCTTATTCCTAAATTAGACTCTTTTAAGTTTTTAGTTCACAATAATGATTGTGATGCATTTGCTCTTTGTGAAACTTGGCTCTCTTCAGATATTGATCTTCCTTTTTATGATTTTAACATTATTCGACTGGATCGTGAGGATTCGCGTGGAGGAGGGGTACTTTTGGGGATCAAAAAGTGCCATTCCTTCTATAGAGTGAATCATCCACAATTTACAGGTATTGAAGTTGTCGCATGTCAGGCTATTATTAAAGGTAAGAGCCTTTGTATTGCTTCTGTTTATATTTCTCCTAGAGCCGTTGTTAATCGAAAACAACTTTCAGATATATGTTCAGTACTTCCTGCTCCACGGTTGATTATGGGAGATTTTAATTCCCACGGTACAGGCTGGGGGGAACTGTATGATGACAACCGTTCTACTATGATATATGATCTCTGTGATAACTTCAATATGACAATTCTTAACAATGGAGAAGTAACACGTTTGGCTGGACCATCCTCGAATGGAAGTAAATTAGACCTCACACTTTGCTCTAACTCATTATCGTTGGATTGCACGTGGAATGTGATCCAGGATCCCCACGGTAGTGATCACTTGCCGATCGGCATTTCGATTGCCAGTGGGTTCAATTCGTCGGAATCCGTTAACGTCGCGTACGACCTCACCCGTAATATCGATTGGACAACGTTCAAGACCGCGATAGAGGAAGCCGTGTTGTCGGTAGAAGGGCTTCCACCGTTGGAGGAATATAACTTCCTCTCCAATCTGATCTTGGACAGCGCGCTTCGAGCTCAAACTCGACCGGTTCCTGGAACGTCTTTGCGTAGGAAACCTCCTTCCCCTTGGTGGGACCACCAATGCACTGAGGTTTATCGTAAAAAGTCTGACGCGTTTAAGCTTTTCCGGAAACGTGGAACACCCGTGTATTTCGAAGCGTACTCGGCTCTTGAACGCGAACTCAAGAGCCTCATCAAAGCCAAGAAACGCGGATACTGGCGGCAATTCGTGGACGGATTATCGCGTGAAACGTCGATGAATACGCTTTGGAACGCGGCGCGAAGGATGCGTAACCGGTCTTCGAACAACGAGAGCGAGGAGTACTCAGATCGTTGGATTCTCAAGTTCGCGCGAAAAGTATGTCCTGATTCCGTGCCGGCACGGATGATTCCTCGCGAAACGACGAATTCGGTAGACGAGATCAGCCAGCCTTTTTCAATGCTGGAGCTCTCACTCGCGCTCCTTTCATGTGGCAATTCGGCTCCGGGGGCTGATAGAATCAAGTTCAATTTGTTGAAGAACCTCCCAGACGTCGCTAAGAGGCGCATGTTGAACTTGTTTTGTCAGCTCCTAGAGCTCAATATTGTTCCGGATGATTGGAGGCAAGTGAGAGTTATAGCCATTAAAAAGCCTGGAAAACCCGCGTCAGATCATAACTCGTATCGTCCCATCGCGATGTTATCGTGCATTCGAAAATTGTTGGAGAAAATGATCCTTTTTCGCTTGGACAAATGGGTTGAGACGAACCACCTACTCTCAGATACTCAATTTGGTTTCCGTAGGGGCAAGGGAACGAACGACTGTCTCGCGTTGCTTTCCACAGAAATCCAGTTGGCTTTTGCTAAAAAAGAGCAAATGGCTTCTGTGTTCTTGGATATTAAGGGGACTTTTGATTCAGTATCGGTTGAAGTCCTTTCAGACAAACTCCACGCTTGTGGCCTTTCTCCATTAATTAATAACTTTTTGTACAATTTGCTGTCAGAGAAACATATGAGCTTTTCTCATGGAAACTCTAAAGCTTCTCGATTTAGTTACATGGGTCTCCCCCAGGGCTCATGTTTAAGCCCCCTTTTGTATAATTTCTACATCAGAGAAATTGACAATTGTCTAAGTGACAACTGCACGCTGAGACAACTTGCAGATGACGGAGTAGTGTCTATGACAGGGCCCAGAGAATCCTGTAAGGGTCCTTGCAGGATACCTTAGACAATTTATCTACTTGGGCTATTCATCTAGGTATTGAATTCTCCACGGAGAAAACTGAGTTGGTCGTTTTTTCTAGGAAGCATAGCCCAGCACAACCGAAGCTTCAACTTTTGGGTAGGCCGATCACTCATTCCATGTCTTTCTGGAGTCTGGTTCGATTCCAAATGCACCTGTAGATCCCACATTGAGTATCTGAGACGAAAATGCCAACAAAGGATCAATTTTCTTCGAACAATTACCGGAACGTGGTGGGGAGCCCATCCGCAAGATCTTCTAACGTTGTACAGGACAACGATTTTATCGGTTTTAGAGTACGGTAGTTTTTGCTTCCAGTCGGCGGCTAAAACGCACATCATCAAACTGGAACGGATCCAGTATCGCTGTCTTCGTATCGCGTTAGGATGCATGCACTCGACTCATACGATGAGTCTCGAAGTGTTGGCGGGCATGTTGCCACTATCGGATCGGTTTTCGGAATTGTCCCTCAGGCTCCTCACCCGTTGTGAAGTTATGAACCCACTGGTAATCGAAAACTTTGAGAAGCTTCTTGAGCTAAACCCTCAAACTCGTTTTATGACATTGTACTACGTGTACATAACACAGGATGTCAGCCCTTCACAGCATAATCCTCATCGTGTATGCTTCTCCGACTTCGGCAATTCAGTTAGTTTTGATTTATCTATGACGCGGGAGATTCGTGGGATCCCTTGTTGCTGAGCTAGCGGCAATACATTATACGCTAGAAACGATCGCCTCACTTGCACCAGATCATTATTTTATTTTTACGGATAGTCTCAGTTCTGTCGAGGCTATTCGCTCTATGAGGCCGGTAAAGCACTCCTCGTATTTTCTCATGAAAATACGAGAGCTTTTAAGTGCTTTATCTTTAAGATCTTTTGTCATCACCTTTGCATGGGTCCCATCTCATTGCTCGATTCCGGGCAATGAGATGGCTGACTCACTTGCTAAGGTGGGCGCTATGGAAGGCGATATTTACGATCGACAAATCGCCTACGATTAATTTTTCTTCATTTATCGTCAACAGTCACTCGTCAGCTGGCAGAATAAGTGGAGTGAAGGGAGTTTGGGACGATGGCTATATTCGATCATCCCTAAGGTGTCGAAGAGTCCTTGGTTCAAGGGGTTGGATGTGGGTCGAGACTTCATTCGTATGATGTCTCGCCTCATGTCCAATCACTATTCGTTAAACGCTCACTTGTTCCGTGTTGGGCTGGGGGACAGCAATCTTTGTGAATGTGGACAAGGTTACCAGGACGCAGATCACATTATTTGGTCTTGTGCTAAGCATCGCGGAGTCAGATCTGAGCTGTACGATTCCCTTCGGGCTCGAGGTAGACAACCTAATGTTTCAGTTCGGGATATTTTGGCTAGACGCGATCTGGAGTTTATGAAACTCATATATGTTTACTTTAAGAATACTAACATTAGATTGTAAGTTTTATTAACCTTGTGTTTAGTTTGTATTTTGTACGTGTGGGTTTTTTTATGTTTGTTTTCAAGATGAATAGAAATTAGTTCATGTTTTAGGATTAATTAAATATTTGTATCGTAAACCACATTTCAAACTTCCCTCTCCCTTTTCCCATCCAAAAAAATTGTAAATCTCCACTAACCTCGAGACAACCGCGAGTATCCGGTCCAGCTCCTTTAACTTTAAATATAAGACATAAATAATGTATAACGAAAATGATAACTCGGCTCTGTAAAGTTTATTCGATTGAGCCGGTACAAATAAAGTAATTAATAAAAAAAATAATAATCCGATATGATTGACATCACACTTACAAGTGTAGAGCGATTGATAATTATGTGTCAGATTTTTTAAGTCAACAAACGGGACATATGGAATCCGCGTGTGTCGCAAGCGTTTTTATAGTGATAAGAAATAGTTTATATCAAAACATTCACACTTGAAATGGATGTGTTTGCCAAATTGCGCAAATTTAGATGTGAAACACATGTGAGTGACGTGTTATTTTTTATGAGTGTACACAACCCAAGAAGTATTTCTCGATTACTTTTTCGAAGGAACGTATCACCTTTTGTAAACAACGCATTTGATCGTCGATTTGGCGTAACTGGTAGCTCGCTCACGCATGCTAGTACTACCATTAGATAAGGGAAAATTTTCCCAACCTGTTAGCGGTGTTAGTATGTGGGGCGAGCTATTAGTTATGCCAAACCGACGAAAAAATGCGTTGTTTATAAAAGCTGATATGTCCTTCCGAAAAGTAATCGAGATTTGTAGTTATCATTCAGGCAAGGAGCGCTTGCGCCATCGAGGTGACGCCGCTACCAGCAGCCAATGATCTCGACGGGAACGACGCGCAAAGTTCGAGGTGCAAAACTCGAACTCTGCGCGCTTGACAGGAACCGCCTTCCTACTGCTGCTACTGCTGCTACTACTGCTGCTACCTGTTTACCCGCCGTCCGAAGCAGCGTTGCCAGTATTCCAGATTTATCTGGATTTTCCAGATTTTTAGTCGTCTTGCCCGATACACAGGCAGACCACGTATGTTTCCAGATTTTTTAAATATGTTCCAGATTTTCCCAGACTTTTTAAACATGTTGCTTTAAAAATATCACTGCAATTGATTTACCCTCTATTTAAAAAATCCAAACTTGCTACTTTAATTATAAAAGGCCATCAACGTTGGACTTTATTGGAATTTTAAGGTAATTCTGAAAATAGTTGACAGTGAAGTGTGAGGCGAATTCCTTGTGCAATCAAAGGAGAACTTCAAGCTAATTCTGAGTAGAGTTCCATCCATCTTTTTGACCTTCGTGGTCGTGCAACGTCACCCGTTGTTTAGGCGTATTGTGTGTACCACGAAGTAAGAGTTCGATTTCCGCTCCAGCCGGTGCAAAATTTGACAACCTGAAAATTTCCCTACTGATCTACTGGGTGTAGTGTGTTGTCCATTGTTTAGTGTTAAATACTCAGTCTGTACAACCTCTGGTTGAAGGCGGTTTAAAATGTCGTCTCAACTCTGTTGACAATTGCATGGAGATTTTGTGAATATAGGAAATACAATCCGGAAGAGAAATCATAAAAAAAAATGCTTATGATGAAACTTAAGGAGTATGCTGATACGAATCGTAGGAAAAATTTCAATGGATTTGTTGTCCAATGTTTCTATGGAGATTCATTTTAATAAAATTTTAAGACATTTTAACGGAATTATGCGCAATTTCTGGGAGACTTTCAAGGCCATTTTGGCAAAGTACTTGAGTACTTAGGAAATACTGAAGAGGATTTAAAAATAATTCTAACCTTACCTACAAAGCAGTTCAAAGGGAATTATCGGATAAGTCTGAGAAGAGTGCATCAAGGAAATAAATAAGAATATTTTAAGAATTTCATAAGGAAAACTGGACACAGGGAATCCGGGGAATTGTGGAATTGTAGAGTAATGTATAAGAGATTAAAAAAGGTAATGCTATGCATTATGCTATGAATGTTACTGGAAAAGATTATTTTAGGGGAATCCAGAAAATAAGTATGATGAAATTTTAGGATCATTCAAATGGAATTCAAACAAAAGGGCAAAGATATCCTGTAAAGAGTTCCAAATAAAAACAGACTAACAAAAATTTTAGAATCATTCAAATGGAACTAAAAAAATAGGCGAAGATATCCTGTGAAGAGTACCAAGCAAATTCAGACTAACAAAAATTTTCATGATCTGGGACCCAGGAAAAATAGAAATTCCGGAATTTATAATCATTTGTAGATCCTGAGACTTCAAAAATGACACTATCAGACTTTCATTTTAGTAATATAATAAAATTATTCTTTGGCATAACATTATTCGTAATGCTTAGGCGCGAATAGTACATTTAACTGTAGTTTAGGTAAACTTTGTGTGAGTACAACGATGTTCGGCTTTGATTCCCACTTCAGCCAGGTGAATTTTGCTTCAAAATAAAATTGCCTATTGGGTGTTGTGAGTTGTATTGAATTATTTTGTAAATCTGATCAACCTCAGGGTAATATTAGAATTATTGATAAAATCTTTAAATTCTGGTACTGCATCAAATCGTAAGGACTACATCGACTTTAAAAAAACCATCCCATCAACTTTGCTTAATTCTTTGCTTCTCATTCTTTTTAAAAATGTTATATTTTAAAAAAACAATTCTAAAAATTTTTTCTGCAGTATTTTACCCACATTTAATTCAATTTTTAAACTGCTGCGTAATTGATATTTAAACTTTTTGGCCACAATCGTCAATACTTTTCAACTTTTGGATGATTTAGCAATGCTAACAAGTTATTTGCTTTATATAATTTATTCAAACTAGTAATTCATAACGATTCTAGTACTTCAAATAAATTCCAAATGATCATACTGACCAATTTTTACGGAAGATTGGCACATCACTTTGATTACAATAGCATTATGTTAAAAACAGAATATTTTGGAGCATTCCAGATTTTTCCAGATTTTATATTTTAGCTAGTCAAGATTTCTCGATTTAAAAATCGATTTGTTTATTATTTTCAACCACGAAATCAGCTGTCAAAGTGTTCGACATGACAGCGGTTTGTTTTCTATTTTCAACCAGTAAAATGCATGTATTAGTGTATTGTAGTTTTGTTTTGCCTCGTGGCGCGTGGCTCTGTCTCTCACCCTTGGTAAGGGAGTATGGTTCATAGTGAGACAACTTTTTGCAACTAGATAAAAGTTTTTTTCGATTTTTTTTTTCTTTTTAATTTGCTTGTACGCCGTGCAAAAAATTTAATTACTCGTAGGAGGAGGCAAAGTGAACATATGGGGTATAGTGAGCATCCCGCTGTTTGGCTCTGGATCTCCAGCTGCATGAAACCAAACAACTGGTAGTACGTTCAATATCATATCATACCATCAACCACTTTGTTCCGAACGGCCGGAAGTCCAAACTGGTGCACGGGATGCTCCCTATGCCTAGCCTGCTCACTATGCCCCTCTTACCCCTAATTAAAATTAATCAATTAACCACTTCATTCGAGCAGTTAAAATGACGTTTACTACCACTCGAACTTTGAAATAAAACATTATTTTAAGATTTTTTCTTCTAGAACCTCGAGAAAAGTAGCCAAAAATTTGTGCGTTTCATAAAAAAAAAGAAATCAGTTGGTCCAGTTTTGTGAAATTGCTGGTAGAAAGTCACGTCAAAACTGCTTGACAAAGTGATCAATTGGAGTTTTTTTTTTTTTCTTAAGCGGTTGTGCAAAGCTTTTGCGCAACACTTATGCACACTAAGATTTTTTTACAGGAGTCAGTATTTTTTTACTGGGTTTTTGAATTGCTGAAAAAGTCGGTAAAAATTCAAATGACCGTTATCCGTAAGGAATCAATGAAATCGACCAATGTTATTTTTTATCATTTAATGGGGTTAACAGAACTAAGTATGTACATGTACAGAACAAATTTTCTCATTAATAAATTTTCCACAGATTTTTAACCTTTTACCGAACAGTTCCGCAATTCAAAAACTCGGTAAAACCGTACTAACTCGATTAGTGTGTAGCATCTTCCGATGCCAACGTTGCACAAACCAGGTACCGTGCGGGACCGAAATCCGTACACCTAAGCACGAGAGAATCATTAACGGTCAATACTAAATAATGCTATCACATTATGCTCTGTATCACATCTTTTTCCTTTACATTTCTCTTTATTTTTCCAATATTTGCAAACACCAGGTCTTAAAATTACCTTTAATTATTAGAAAAAAGGATTTAAATTGCACATATCTTGAATCAAAATCCGTACAGCGTTTTACGATTGAATCAAAATCCGTACAGTTTTGAATCGAAATCCGTACACTGTGTTGAGGATGAATCAAAATCCGTACAGTCACGAATCAAAAT